TCGGTAACAGAGGGAATGAAATATGCAGCACTTTTTGGGCAATAAATCCAAACAGTGATAACTCTTGGTTCTCACTTACATATCCTTAACAAACTGGTTTGAATATTTGCTTCATATAGTTTTCTACCATATGGTACAAGATTAGGTTGAAAAACCTCTTACTTTTTGACTCATGAGATTTTTTATTAAGAAAGGTCATGGTAACGGAGGGAAAAGTAACAGGGAAAATTGTGCAAACAAGTAGAAGGTGAATGATTCAAAATGAAAGGAAACTATTTCTATAAAATATGTCAGTCCTTCCAAGCAAATTTTTATCATTTTAAATACTTAAAAAAAAAATAAAAAAATCATGTACCTTCATCAACAGTTCAAAGATGGAATAACACAAGATATGATGAAATACATCAGTTTATTTACATGATTTGCAGGTCTTTGAAATTTGGGAAATAATTTTTGTTCCATGTTTCATACATGGTCTGTTTAAAACGTATGGAACTTTAGAACCAAAAATGGTACAGAAAAAAGGTCAACAGTTTCATAAACTAGAGTACATATGTATCTGTTCAATCCATTTTTATATCAGATGCAATAACTTGAATTTTTGGCCTTGCTGTTTACTTCTGCTTGACCGGGCCCTAATGCTGCACTATTTAACTTTACTTTATGCAGAACAGCAATGACTTTGGAAATTTTGCCTTTCATGTCATTTATATGAGACCTCCAAATCATGGTACTTTCTTCTATATTACCATGTGATCTTCTATCTGTGTAATTCCTCAGTCGTCCAGGTAGGTTCTGTACTGGTCCATACTAGTCTATGTGCTCTTATACTTGTTCTGATACAGCTCAACATCAGTCTAAAGCAATTCAGGAAAGGTTCGTTTCTGTCCTGTTTACTATCGGTGCTCAAATTAGCATATAGTATATTAGTATTTTAGTTTTAATATTGTTTAGTATCTGATTTTGGATACTTTTGGCCACCCTAGTATGAGTATATCAGCAATAATATTTCCAAAAGTACCAAAAATTCACATTAAGACTTCAGTGCACAAATTCAAGAGCAAAGCGATACCACCTAAGCAGTTTTGGTTTCTCTTCATTCCTCGATCCCCCCCGTGCACACCAGCAGGCCACTGGCTCGCTTCACACACATCTTAAGCCCCTCTTTTCTTATTAAACTCCTGTGAAACCCGGCACACGGCCGCCATCAAAGGTGCGCACGAGCCACTGGCACTCGCAGCTAAATCTCTCCTTCCCCTCTACCCCTGCGCCTCCTCACATCTCCAAAGTGCCCCTCAGAACTTTGAACACAAGGGGGCGTAGACTGATAACTTTGCTTTTCCCCCTTCTCGCCTGCCACTCCTCCTCCTCCCTCCTCCCTCCTCCCTTCTTCCTCTTCTTCCTCCTTCACTGTGGGGCAAATCAGATTAAGGATTCACGTCTGACCTTGGAAGGAAACTACTACTTAAATTTACATTTCAAGAGAGACTGGGTTATTGCATTACTGGCGATGGCCCTCCTGCTTGCACATATTATAGTGGAATAGTCTTCCCATGCTCCTGCCCCAACAGTAGAAACATATGAAGGATATGGAAACACACTATATACGACTCCCGGTCATAACAATACTATAATAAGGGCCGGTGGAGATGGCAGTGAGCTCTGTTACACGATAATCAAGTCCCCAGAGTGTTTTGCCACCACAGTTATAGAAAACATGAGCAGTGATTGCATTAAAAATGGAATTCCAAACAGTCGGCTCCCCATACTAACTGCGATGCGCTTTAGGTTACGGTTAAGACAGAAAACAACAACAACGTTACGTAATCCGACGCAAACGGTTCATCATCAGTGAGGCTCGCTTAAAGCTTCACTGTGTAGAGTTTAAGGTAGAAGATCTGCTGCTTGCGTGTGTCCATGGAGATGTTATTTCTTTGCCGTAAATGTTTCGCAGCAAGGCATCTCCCGTTCAGTTACAAGTCTTATATAGCTAAAAAAACATGAATTTTTCCCATGTGCCGGTGTCCTGTCGATTTGAGCTACCCGTGGAGCTACTGTTGGAGTTTAAATGCCGTCGATTTGAGCTCCCGAGACAGAAACAGAGTAACAAAACAATTTAAAAGTGTATGGGTTTTATTGAATGTTTGGACCAGTTAAGCAACGGCATGTGCGTGTTAGATTTACAGCAGAATTCAGACATTAGATGATTGAATAGTTTAGATTTAATATTTGATTTTATTGTTATAATTTTCATTACGTCCTATTTTTATTTTTTTACATGTGTAGAAAACGTTGTAACTTTGTTTAAAATGCTCTGTATAAATAAAATTTCACGATATTATAATAGGAAATCCACACTGTAGCCTATATTTATTTAAGATTTATTTAAGAGTTTAGTGTTTCCAGTCATTTCTTTCTCTTATATTGTGTGAGCCTTATTTGATATAAAATATAAGCCTGTCGAAATGAGCTACCTCTACTTATATTCATATAAATGAGTGTTACAAGTCTTTTAAAGCAAAAGAAATACATGAATTTTTATTTTGTGCTGGTGTCCTGTCGATTTGAGCTACCCATTGAGCTACTGTTAGAGTTTAAATGTCATCAATTTGAGCTCCCGAGACAGAAATAGAGTAACAAGTAACATCTTAAAAGTGACCAGTTAAGCATATTATATTATATTATTGTGCATGTTAGATTTATGTTACGTTAGATGATTGAATAGTTTGGATTTAATATTTGATTTTATTGTTATAATTTTCATTACATCATATTTTATTTTGTTACATGTGTAGAAAACTTTGTAACTTTGTTTAGAGATGTTCTGTATAAAAAAATAAAATAAAAATCACTATATTATAAGAGCAAATTCACACTGTAGCTTATATTTCTGGTCGTTCCTAAAGCCCGCACAGTTTTGGGCCGTTCCTCATTTCAGTTTTCTGCAGCAAGTGACTGGAACCACCTTCAACAGACTTTAAAACTTAGTTCGTTTTTACCTCTGTCAACTTAAAAAAAAAATACTTTTATATCTTTAATCTGCAAATGTTTGTCTTATATCTCTTCACTGTTTCATGTTATAGTTGATGTGTGAGTGTTTTCTGTTTGTGCTTTTGTTTTATTCTGCCTCTTGGCCAGGTCGTCATTGTAAATGAGAAGGTGTTCTCAACTGACTTAACTGGTAAAATATTGAATAAATAAATAAATAAAAACATATTTATTTAAGATTTTAGTGTTTCCAGTCATTTCTTTCTCTTATATAGTGGGAGCCTTATTTGATAGAAGATATATTCCTGTCTAAATGAGCTACCTCTACCTAAATTCATCTAAATGAGTGATTGAATAATGGTGATTCTACAGTGGGAACATTATTCAAAGGTTAAATTGTCCTGTCGATATGTGCTACCTTTAGTCGGCGCCCTATTTGAGGATAACACGACTGTCCAAATGAACTACCTACTAGAGATGTAACAATAACCGAAATAATATGATATCGTATCATCAAAGTTCTCACAATAATATCATGGACCATCACAATATATCGAATTACAAGTCTCTTTCTGTTTAAATGAAGAGTTATGGAGCAGCAATAGCTAAAAAAAGACAGAGGGAACTACACAGACCATGATCCTTTGCTCCATTTCAGTGTAGACTACAAGAAGAAATAACAGTTCTAAACACTTTTAGTCTTAATTCTTTGGATTAAGTTTTGTCAAGGCATTTTAAGTTGAAAAAGTAGCATTTTAAAAGTTTTGTTACCTCCACAAAATATCATACCATGAGACTTGGATATCATTACACCCCTACTACATACACATATTCAAATAAATGAGTTGAAACTGTACATAACTAAAGTATAAAGTGTGATCATGTTCAATCAAACCTGCTGTTTTTAATCTAAAGAAATGTCATAAAACTGGGGAGGTTAGGGTTTGGCTTTATTGGATCTATACAACTGTAAACAGAAAAACGTAAGGCTGCTTATTTCGACGTCACTGTCAATTCATTGCGACGGGGCAGCCCATTTGGACAGAACGCCGGCTTGCTTCTCCACATTAACCCGTCTCCACCGTGACTGTAATCAAAGCAGTGATATTTCCATAGAGACAAGCAAGAAACGGGACTTTACTTGTTACTGAATCTGTTTCTTTCAGTTTTCTTCTGCTCAGATCTGTGCACTCTGAACAGGAACTTGCATAGACCTAGAGCACACCACTAGGTAGAGCCTGCACACCACTAGTTTGACTCTTAAACTTCATGAGAGTGGAAGTTCACGCTCTGCCTGTCAACATTTTCAAACACATTCACAACACTTTCTGTCATTCTCTATTTATTTATGTATTCGTGTATTTATTTAATTCAACTGCCCGATGATTATATCTGTTTGATGATACTACAGTAGCGGGTTGGGACGATGCTGTTTATACCAGAATAGTTTTCCACACAATAGAGTCTCACGTACCACCGGCTGGACCTGCACCCCGTTTGAGAACCACTAATCCTGGGTTGGTTTCAAATCATCCTCGCCCAGACCTGGTTTAAGTCCTACAGGATTATATTGGCCTCGAGGTATTTCCTAACAGACATCAACACTTGGCTCGCTCTGGAGATTTTAAACACTATTAAACATTACAATAATTACAGTTATAGCTTTACCTCCCCGCGTAATCATATTTAAACGAGTTGGTAAATGATACAGTAGCTTTTGCATAAGTAACAGCGCGTTTTATACGGTTATAGAGGCAGTCCATAACATAATAGCTCTTTTATTGTCCCATTCCTAATACATACCAGCGCTCCAGTCCGCAGGTCTGGCATCAAACACCTGTTTATTTGGACTCAGTTGGAGAGCAGCCGCCTCTGTGCTCCCAGACCTCGTGGCTCCATGCGCGCAATAAAACCCCGGCCCCAGATTGGTCCAGAGCCCGCGTCTATGCAAATCAGCGCTCCCCAAAACCCGCCCATGCACCTGATAGCCACTATTTACAGCTTTACACATGACCCACTGCACTGTTTTCTAGAGGGGACGCAGAGATGACACTTCACTGGACGTTGGCGCAATAACGGATTTACGCACGAAGTCGAAGTTTTGTTTTTGTTTACCAAAGAGGAAATTAAACAAAAGTTTGAGAGGGTTTTCAAGATGCCTCGGTCGTTTTTAGTTAAGAAGCACACAAACTCCGTGAAAAAGCCTAATTATAGTGAACTCGAAAGCCCAACAGGTAAGTTTTAAAAAGTTTTATTCAGATGTTTAACTTTTTGCGCAACTTTTTTTTCCCCCGCGTACCAAAGCGCGCCGTTAACTCTCCCGTTCTGATTCCAGTCTTCATCACGCCGCACTTCTACAAGGGCCTCCCCCTGCCTGTCATCCCGCAGCCAGAGATCTTGAGCCCGGCCGCTTACAGCCCAATCACGGTATGGACTACCAGCAGTCTCCCCCTCTCCCCTCTCCCCAGCGATCTGTCCCCCATCTCCGGCTACCCGTCCTCCCTCTCGGACACCTCTTCCAACGACCACTGCGGTTCTGAAAGCCCGCGTAGCGACGAGGACGAGCTGGTCAAACTGACTGGGGAAGCGGAGAAATTCCAATGTGGTTTGTGTAGCAAGTCCTACTCCACGTACTCCGGACTTCTCAAGCACAAGCAACTGCACTGCGACGCCCAATCGAGGAAATCCTTCAGCTGTAAATACTGCGAGAAGGAGTACGTCAGTCTGGGAGCGCTCAAAATGCACATACGGACTCATACGCTACCGTGCGTCTGCAAAATCTGCGGCAAGGCGTTCTCCAGGCCGTGGCTACTGCAGGGACACATCAGGACGCACACAGGTGAGAGGCCGAGACGCGCCACAAATCACTGCTGCGCGTTTTGGATTCAAAGAAAACATTTTTAGCTATAACCTAGAACATTTTAAAGCATCTCAGATAAAAAAAAAACATTATTACTGGATACACAACAAAGAAAAGTTGAAAGTTTCATTGTCTTACAGTTCAGTATGACGCTTTACGTAATTACGAACACTGCGTAAACAAAACCAAACTCAAAAAGTTAGCTTCAGAAACATTTTTTTTTTCTTCTATTCCTCGGTCAGTTTCAACTTCCTGTTAGATGACATGCTATTTTGAGAAGTGTTGACCATTCAAAAGATGTAGCCCTTTTGTTTTGAATTGGTAATCGCTATGGTAACGGTTCTGACTATTCTTTAGTCTGAAACGCATAATGCTCATTCATAACACAGACTAGGCCTATTTTGACATTTAGGACCGCAACAAGTTTGATTCATTTGTGATTTCTGTAGTATTTGCTGTCAATGGTTTTAAAAAAAAAAAAGAAAAGAAAATGACACTTCCTCTTCTTTGCTTGGCCAAAATTGAGCAATTGATAAAAAAAAACGTCAACACATTTGAGCACGACTGACATCAGCACAAACCCATTCGTCTCGTTGTCATATCTTTACGGGACCTTTTGACACGTATCTCACTCTCTTTTTCTTCTTCTTCTCTTTCTTTCCGTTTGACAGGAGAAAAGCCATTCTCGTGCCCACACTGCAACCGGGCGTTCGCTGACAGATCCAACCTCAGGGCCCACCTTCAAACCCACTCAGATGTGAAAAAATACCAGTGCAAGAACTGTTCCAAAACTTTCTCCAGGATGTCATTGCTGCACAAACATGAGGAATCTGGCTGTTGTGCCGCCCACTGAACTGCAAAGTGGACTCTAGCCATCTTCACAGGGAAAAAAAATCATTGACTTTTTCAGGCTTGGTTGGGTTGACTTGATATTACAACACGATAAAGAGCCCAAAGTTTAGAAAATATCGAGCTCCGGGGCAGGTTTGAAATCAACTGAGTTTGGGTTTTAGCTGTCAGATTGCAGATTTATTATTTTTTTTTGGTTTTGTATGGTCAATATCTTTGTAATTACTGCGTTTATCCACATGGAACAAAAACGAACATTAAGTTTCACGCCTTTTCTGTCAAAACACAAGTTGAAGCATCATTCAGTCCCGAAGATCGGATAGTTAAAGCTGGAGGGCAGGTTTTGAAATCAATAGAGTTTGGGTTTTAGCTTTCAGATTGCAGATTTTATTTTGAATCTGGTTTTGCGTGGTCGATATTTTTGTAATTACCTGGCTTATCCACGTGAAACATAGCTTTAAAAAGTGGCAGCATCATTCAATTCCAAAGATAGTTGGAAAGTTAGTGGGTCCAACAGTTATAGATTTTCAGCTTGGATGCTTCTTTCAAAACCTGATAGACACATTAGAACTGCCCTCCGCCGAAATCAACATCAAATTGTAGTGTAGAAGTTACGAACGCCTTCTATTCAGTTGCTTTTATTTATCTGTCAGGGAAGTTACACCAAAGACAAGCCATTTCAAAGCTCTTTTTAATGGAGTTTTTTTTTTTTTTTTTGCATCACCACCTACCTGTGCTGGCTCATGCACTTTTGGTTTTGCATGTCTACCAAAGAGGCCTGTCACGATAAATACTCAATCAGCTTCAACATATGAAACTTAGAACTGCATTTTTGGGGTCAATATTTATCATTTTATTCGCACTACTGGGACATTTTTGACTTTGATTTAAGCCGCAAAAGGTCGAAATAGTAACTACGATGACTCATTACAGATTTAGAGTTGTTTTTGTGGTTTAAATCCGTGTCAGAGGCTTAAATTAGTTTCAGTATTATGGTTTATTGTCTATTTTTACGCCAAAATTGTGTTATCGTGACAGGCCTACTACTAATGTGCCACGCTCAAATTAACAGGCCTTCATTTGGTGCATTTCTGTGGTTGTTATGGGGACTTCCACTTTGTCACATGTACCTTGCGAAACACTTTTTTTTTTTTTATAAATAGCCATTGAAACTTAGGGAACAAGTGCAAGCCTGTCAAAACGGTGGTATTATGAAAACTTTTGCACATTGATTTATATTAGAGCAATACTCTTCTCGGCTCACTTGACCATATAATGTATTTTCCAACAACTTTTCTATTTTTGTATCTTGAATGTAAGCGTGACTGAGACGATTGTATATCCGCAGTGGCAAGCTGTGATGGTGAATGATATTTGATATTTTCATATTTTCTCATGACACTTTGATGAATAAAGTTTCATGGTGTTTTTGTATAAGAGTTTGAAGTCGCTGTGTCTCTGTGTACGCCTCGGTTTAACGGGGTTTTAGAAAGTTAAAGTGCTCATATCACGCTGTTGTAATGTTGTTTCCTCGTCACAAACGTACCTAGAAAACCTCTCAGACTGAAAACACTCTGGTCCACCTTGTGATGTCATGGGTTCATACAGGAAGTGCTCCATTGTGTTTGAAACGCCACACACCTTCACTAGAATCATTTGGATGATTTCAGGTCTGGAATTGCCAATCTCAGCTGAACTAAAGGTAAAAAATAGCTGTTAAACTACTGCATCATGACATCACAAGGTGGAACAGAGCATTTTGAGCTTTAGAGATGCAGACAGACTAATAATAAGTCTTACTCAAACCTATATAAATAAAACAAAACACAAAACTATGAACGTTTTTAAAAAGGTAACAACATTATAACACGAATTAAAGTTTACTTTGGACCATTTTAGACTTTTAACAGAGTTTTAAAAACTGGTGGGGGTATATGAGGTGATAGTAGATTCATAAAAATAGGGAAAAGGTTATAAGCGTAGGTCTATAAATAATGTGTGGATAAACCAAACATCACTATTCATGTTGGAAAAAGTAGTTAACAAACAGAAGATATGGAACTGTTGTGAATTGCGCCAGTAACTCACGAGAAAATATTTTTGCTTACTGATAAAAATGAAATTAAACATTTTTTAAACTACACAAGCCAAGACAAAGAAGTGCATTGTTCAGCTACAAGACACTTCAAATATTTATAAGTACTATTGCCACTGCATGTTAGAGTTACCTCTTTTTTTAGACACTTTTTAGGAACTGAGATGTTATTTCTTTGTCTGGAATGTTCCACGAGAGGGAATTAAATATATACCCCTCAATTGAAGGTGTTTTATAGCTCAAAAAATACCTTAAAAATATGAATATTTACCATGTGCACACTTGCTTCTCCATAGATCTGATCAGTCACTTGTCTCCATTGTGATTACCAAGTTTGTTTCCATACTGTGGAATGATGAAAACAAAATGAAACAGTAATATCTCTATGAATGTAGGGAAAGGGAGCCCACTCAAAATGTTCCACAGTATGGCATTAAACTCTCCATAAAGTCAAAGATGTGACACGACCAGGCCAAGTGACATGTCAGATCTTGGGGAAAAGGAGCCCACTCACAATACAGATGCATTTGTGCAAAAGATTTTCATTAGGGATGCAACAATAACCGAAATATCGTGATATCGTATCGTCAAACTTCTCAGAATAATATCGTGGACCATCACAATATATCGAATTACAAGTCTCTTTGCTTAAATGAAGAGTTATGGTGCAGCAAATAAAAAAAGACAAAGGAAACTACATTGACCATGATCCTTTGCTCCATTTTAGTGCAGACTACAAGAAGAAATAACAGTTCTGAGCACTTTTAAGTCTTAGCTTTTACCTTCTGAATAGGAAAAAGTCCTCAAAATGGCCCCTACAATAGAAAAAAAAAAAATAAAAAAAAAAAATACATCTTTAAAAACAATGTAAATTAATTGTGTTTTTGTTCAAAGTTGTACCAAAAATCTATTAAAGGTGTGATGTGTAACTGTTCCAGTGGAGAGTCCGTCACTTATTTGTCTCATCAAAATGTTACAGCTTTGCCCAGAATGTTCCTCAGTATGGCATTAATAAAGTCATCTCTCTCTTGATCTATCATTTATTCAAGTAGAGGTGTTTTTACCGCATGAAAATCAGGGATGTAACGATATCAAAGTCTCACGATACGATATTTATTTATTTCTCACGATATGATGTGGAGGCTCACGATTAGGGATGTAACAATATCCAAATGTCTCAGTACGATATTTTCACAATATACATCTCATGGTACAATATTTATTGTGATATTTTGTGGAGGTTAAACAGCTAAAACTGTGAATATGCTACTTTTCCCCCTTAAAATGCCCTGACAAGACTTAAAGGTTGTATGGAAGATTTATTTTTAGCTTCAAATTGTCACTGAAAGTAAAAAAAATACCATTACAGAGACGCAGCAGCCTTGTAATGATGATGACCAAAAAAAAAAATAATGACAATCTATCAGCTGTGGACGTAGTGAGGGCAGATAAACATCAGCCAATAGATGACGAGGCTCCCTCATTATCTATTGGCTGTTAGGTTGTCAGTCAAACTCCCTAAGTTTCTAGTGTAACTGACTTTGAGGCTTTTTCAAACTGTCGCTTCCTTGCAATTTGCACAAAGTTTGTTGCCATGGCGGAGGACAATCCACGACCAGTTCGCCGCAAAAGAAAGTCCGTTTTTGAAGTCGCTGAAAGAAGAAGAGAAGAGCAAAAGGAGCAAACTGAGGTGATTCTTGGAGATTCCTTCCAGCTATGGTGTGACTGAAGCAGACGAGGGTCTAAAAACTGATGCGTCGGCCGCTAAAATATTTCTCGACAGGTCACTTCAACAGTCATTTTGAACGCGCACTGGATGTAAACAAGTGTGATTTCTAGAGTAAAGAGGTGGGAGGAGATGTTTCTACTGAGGCTGTGGAGGAGGAAGGTGGTGTCACGCATGCACAACATTTAAAAAAGGCCTGTCGCTGTATTTCATGTCCCTTAAAAAATCCTCTATACATTCTTTAATCCAAAGAACGAAGACTTAAAGGGATAGTTCGGATTTTTTGACATGAATCTGTATGTGTTATTTGACGATGGTTTTGTGATGCAAATGTATCACTCTTTTGAACACAGATTGCTTTGAGAAGAAAAACGCTTTATTTTACTGTCCCCAGCGAACTTGCCGGACTACTTTCGTCAGCACCGAAAACGGCCAGGATCTCGGCTCACCGGACGCTTTCGGAGGTAAGTCAGTGTGGATGCACGACACTGCTCACGGGGATGCCATACAGATTTATGTCAAAAAATCTGAACTATCCCTTTAAAAGTGCTTAGAACTGTTACTTCTTCATGTAGTCTACATTGAAATGGAGCAAAGGATCATGGTCAATGTAGTTCCCTTTGTCTTTTTTTAGCAGTTGCTGCACCATAACTCTTCATTTAAGCAAAAACACTTGTAATTCGATATATTATGATGATCCACGATATTATTGTGAGAACTTTGACGATACGATATCACGATATTTTGGATATTGTTGCATCCCTAATGAAAATCTACATGCATGCATCTTTTTTGTGAGTGGGCTCCCTTTCCCTAGATCTGACATGTAACTTATCCTGGTGGTGTCACATATTTGACTTTATGAAGACGTTTTGAAGAGTTTAATGCCATACTCTGGAACATTTTGATGGCAGACTCTCCACCAGAAAACTTACACAGAACGCAAGTACAAACATTACAACTTTCTCCCAAAGAACATTAAAACACAGAGAAATTATCTATTCGTAATATTTCCGCACACTTTCTGATTTACTAATTAGACTTGCGTCATGACATATTGCGCTCGCCAAGGCGTTTGTGGGTAGACGGGTCCCGAAGATGTAATAGCGGTAGTTAAGAAAAATGGCACCCAGAGGAGACATAAAACTCAAATACCTTTAGACAAATGAACTCATAACTTTAAGCAGGAATTTTGTTACATGTTATAAATCTGTTTTCCCAACCTCATTTAGAGCTCGGCTGGACCTGTCATTTCTGTGCGCTGCTTGCATCTTTTAACACCCCCTACAGAAGACCTCAACGTTTATTTATTAACGTCATCAGCTTTTGTCTTTTACAGAACTTGCGTTAAAAGTGTATGTTGTAGTTTTTACGGTGGGGGGTCTACTGCTTTCTTGTATTGTATTAAATTATGAGAACTGGAAAAACGACGTTGAAATCATTCGTGCAATTCTTACTGTGTGTGGGCTCGCCTCTCCAGAGATCTGACCTGTAACTTCAAACGTCCAGATGTGCTTGTCTCCAGTGGGTTTGCCTGTAAAGTTTCACAATACGGCATTAAATGTGTCTGTCTCATATCTGTTCGATAACAAATGTCGTTATGACTGAAATAATCGTGCGTTCTTACTGTGAGTGGGCTTGCCTCTCCACAGATCCGACCTGTAGCTTGGACCGGACGTGCCACCTGCTTGTTTCCATGGGTTTGCCTGTAATGTTCCACAATATGGCTTTAAAACGTGTCTGACTTGCGTTTACTCGATTACAAGTGGTGTTATTGCAAAAACAAAACAAGAGAGAGAGACAGAGAGATGAAGAAAAGGGAGAGAGAGATGAAGGAGAGAGGGACAGAAAGAGAAAGAGAGAGAGGGAAGAACACGGGAAGAACATAGAGACAGAGAGAGAGAAAGGGGGAGAAACAGAGAGAAATAGAGGGATAAAAAAGGAGGGAGAGAAAGGGGGGCAGAGATAGAGGGAGAGAGAAAGAGAGAGAGAACAGGGAGAGGGATAGAGGGATAAAGAGAATGAGGAAGAGAGAGAGAGGGGGGCACAGGCATAGAAAGAAAAGAGAGAGCAAGGGGGGAAAACAAAGATAGATAGAGAGAGAGAGAACAGAGAGAGAGAAGAGAGATAGAGAGAGAGAGAGAGAGAACAGGGAAAGAGACAAAGGGATGAAGAGAATGAGGAAGAGAGAGAGGGGGAGGGGAGGCACAGACATAGAGAGAGATAAAGAGAGAGAGGGAGAGAGAGGGGGAGAACACAGACATGGAGAGAGAGGATGAAAACAAATAGAGGAGGAGAGAGAGAAGACAGAGGGAGGGAGATAGAGGGATAAAGAGAGTGATGGAGAGAGAGAGAGATAAAGATAGTGAGGGAGACAGAGAGGTTAAAGAGAGTGACAGAGAGTGAGATGAAGAGAGTGAGGAAAACAGAGAGGAGAGGAACACAGACATGGAGGGGGGGGGCAGAGATAGAGGGAGAGAGAGAAGACAGAGGGAGAGAGATAGAGGGATAAAGAGAGTGAAGGAGAGAGAGTGAGAGAAAGAGAGGGGGTGGGACAGAGATAGACTGACAGAGGGAGAGAGAGAGAGAGAGAGCGAGAGAGATGAGAGAGAGATGGA